CCCCTGAGGAGCCCCGCCCCCACCCCGGCCCGCCCCGGGAGGGCCTCACCTGCGAGATCTGGATGGGCTGCGACAGCGGGATCTGCGTCATGGGCGTGGCGGCGGACGCGGAGATGGAGGCCCCGGCGGCGCCGTGCTGCTGGCTGGCGGAGTGCTGCTGGACGGCGGCGGCCAGCAGCTGCGCCTGCGCCTGCGCCTGCTGCAGCAGCAGCTGTTGCTGTGCCGGCGTCAGGGTGAGCTGGACACGACAACACACGGTTGGAGGGGCCGCGGGGGGCGGGGGCACCCCGGCGCGGTCAGGCCTCGCCCGCCCGCGGCACGCGGTTAGCACGGGGCCGAGGCGCTGCCGGGCCACCGGGCCACCGCGACTAGCGGGACGTTTACATTAAAATGGACTCAGACAGTCACTCCAGCTTGTCCCGGGCTCTAGGTTGAGGCAAGAGAGTAAGTAACTAGTAACACGGGAAGGAAGAATCCACGCGGACAGGGTATGAAAAGAAACGGACGCCCAGCTGCGCGGCAAGTGGGATGAATGGGCAGCAAGGGTGCGGGGTCGGCGGCGGGAAGACCGATAAGGCCCAGCTGCTTCCCGAGCACGACCCGCCGTACCCGCCATCCCATTGTGCCCTAACATAGGACTGAGGCATTGGCGCTCCGTTTGTTTCTTTTCCAAGTCTCCCTGCAGCCCCTCCCCAATGCAGGCTTTTCTGTACTGAAAGCACAGGGTCCCTACAACTTTCTATCCCTTTCCAACACATTATCTCCGTGAAACAGGTGGTGACAGCGGCTCTCTTTACATGCAAATGAATCCTAAAGCCCAGGTTTAGTAGAGGCTCCAGCCACAGGAACCTGGAGTCCCAAGGGTCTCTCACTATTGGAGACGCTAATCACCCAAAACAAATCCAAAGAGTAAAAACAGGAAATGTATTTAGAGCAGATTTGAACTTGCTTTCATAATGCAACTTATTTCAAACACAGAGTAGTGAGTTCTGCCTTCCTTTTGGTGGCATGTTCCGATCGGACAAGAAGGAACCCTGGAATGTATACTTTTTTTTAAAGCCTTTTTTCCCTGTAATCTCTATACCCATCATGGGATGGGGCTCGAACTCACAACTCCGAGATGAAGAGCTGCATACTCTAGCGACTGAGTCAGAAGGCGTCCTACCCTGAAATATATTCTTTAAGTGCATGTGCATTCACTTAGTGGCACAACCCTCCTTCTAAAAGGGTCCAATACTATTTGTACATTCGAGGCATAAGATTCAAAATCAAACCATTCACAAACGTAACAGCTGTCAAGATACATTTTTATATTTTATATAATAAACATATTAATCCCCATTGAGGGGTATTTAAAACAGTTTAGCAACTTCCAAAACACACTTAACTAAAATAAAGGAAATTAAAAACTGTGTGGGTCAATGTGATGTGAACTGAATAACATATCTTCCTTACCACTCTCCTAGCCTTTCCACCTGCGAAATAACTTGACCGACAAATGTCCAACACTGGGAGAATATTTTGGGTGTCTTAGAGCAAAGACAGCTGGAAAGTGAAAAGCTTAAGAAAGCCCAAGAAAGTTAAAAGCTTAAGAAAGTAAAAAGCCTTACAAAGGCCGATTTATTACTAATAAAAATAAGTGCTACGGCAGACAGGGAAAACTTACCCCAGTTATCTGTCCTCCAGCCAGCATCAGCTGGGTCTGGGGGATGGCTGCCTGCACTGAAGGCTGCTGGGAAGGCTGGCTTGGCTGCTGTGAATCCCCCGATTCTTCATTAGATTTAGACTGGGGTCGGGGGGAGAGAAGGGAGGATAAGAGATTCCAAGTAACCGATCAAAAACTATACTACCTACAACTCCGTATTTTAAGATTTGCTTACAACATGGATTTATCTAGTCAGGAGTTTTCTAGTTTCATTCTTTTCCTTTCTTATTAATCTTTGTATCTTCCTAATTTTAACATAGGAAGTTTTTAGACTTTTTCTTCCTTTAAAAAAAATCCCATTTATGATTTGTTGTTTCCTAACTATAAAAGAAAGAAACGATCAAATACGGAACACATAAAAGAGGAAAAATAAAATATAAAAAAACTGCCCATGGCACAAGTTGCTGGTATAGACCAGCAAAGCTGCACGTACAACTTTTAAGAAGAAAACGTAATTGGGTCCACCACAAATCAACCGAATTTTTCAGAAACCCAAATTTCAACTTGAGAAACAAGGAGGAAGGGAACGCACGTCCTCAACCCGTGTCTACACCGGCCCCTCCACCCCAGCATCCTGAAGTGTATTTGGTGGTTGGCCTGAAACTCCTCGTACGTCATCTCAGAGCTGACAACTTGACCCACAGAGCTATTCATCTAACACCTAAAATAACTGCAAATTTCGCATGTCTCATCGAGTAACGCTCAAGTTTGGAGGGAACTGCCGCAGTCAAGAGGGAAAGAGAACACACTCCTAAAAGGGACACTAAGAGGAAATTTTATGGTAATTAAAACTGCTTATGCAGAGCATTAAAATTCTGCATAGATTTGCATATTTCCTACCACCTGTTTTGGGGACCACAGCAAGGCTAATTAACATAAAGGCTCTGATTAATGCTGCCAGTCACTGCGAGATAATTACAGTGCAGGACTGTAAACATGCCGCACAGGAGATAGGGCCTGTTTGCCAACATCTCTCCAAGGGACAAACTTTACCATGGCAACCACGGCAATTTTCTGCCTCCTCTCCCGCAGAAAGGAAGGTCACATTATCTCCTTTTCTTTTCTCTTCTTGCTCCATGTGTTACTAGGTCCATATTCCACTGGGTTCCCGGGACGCTCAACCCAAGGTCTTCAGTCATTAGCAACACTGAAATCAACCTTTAGCGTGCGGCTTTCCCCTCTTGACTGCCAGCTACCTAAACACTCTAACGAAAGGAAGCAGCAGATTGACTGAAATACGGAGTAACGCATAATAACTGAACTCTGCACGTTGTACCGCATGGTTTGTGTATCAGCAAAGTGGCCAGACTTAAGCTTTGTTTTTAAATTTTTTTGACTGTATGAAGCCCATCAATTAACTACAACAGGCTTGGGGGCAAACCTTGGAAGTGTAGTACTTGATAGCAGAGAGGGAGCCTGGCACGTTTCTAAACCTCCCACACTTAAATAAATGTAAGGAAAAGGAGCCCCAGGAGGCTAGGTGACTTGCCAAAGCTGAGACGGCTAGTTAGTGGCAGAGCTAGAACGCACCCTTAGAACCTCTGCATCTCGGCCCCATGCTCTTTCCGCTACACTATAAAATGACAAGTAAAAAGGCACCTGCAAACCAAAGGCATCTAAAAGTTACTTGGCTTTGTGTTCAGGCATGTGCTATCACTGCAGAACTCGGAAACAGCGGACTAAACTTACATACCCCCCCACCAAATAAAACTACACTTACACATCCAGCTCTGAAAGGAGACTTCTCTTGTTCACCTTTTGTCATTCACGGCGGTATAACACAAACTAGATTTTCATTAATGTATCGTCAATGATTATCGTTACTTGGATCTTACTGACGTTAGGTAATAAAAAAGGTAATGCTTCTAAGTATTTCCTATTATAAAATTATTGCATGCTCATTACCAAAAACTCAGAAAAATATGGGGAAAAGAGTACAACTGGCCCATAATCCCACAACCCAGCTTACCTGTACATTTAAAGACTGAGCAGCAGCCTGTAAACTTGTTCCAGCGAGCTGGACCTAAAAGTAATCAGGTAAAGTTGCCATAAATGCCACGACATCCATCATTACAAGTTGACATCAGCAAGCATTTCCAGAATCTCTACTAAATGCCTGTTCACGGAGTTAGAACTGAGAATACAAAGGGGTCTATCTTACAAAGTAAAAACTTGATGGGGAAGCTCCTGGTTCCTCCACTTCCCCCCAGAAAATGCTGTTAACATTTCTTTCCTGAACACGATTTCCCACACCAAATCCACGTCATCAAGCCTGCCACACTTGTATTAGACTTTCCTTTCCTGTCTCTAGTCGTTGGACACACAGATTCTACAAACTTAATTCAGCCATTATATAAAGAACACATAAGAACAAACGACTTACACACATTATCATCATCAACCATCAGAATTACCTACCTGTTCTAATTTCAAAATTTTCATGTGTATACCAGAGTAAAAACCTTATGTACGTGTGTGTGTGTGCGTACCCCTACACAGTCAAGTCTTTACAACATTTATAGTCATAACTCAAAACTACTGGCTGAAATAAAGACTCCATCCTATAATCCACACATGAAAGTCCATCGTAACATTAAATGTATTTCATGCCTTCAGAAAGCTAAAACCATGGTTATATTAGGATAAGGGATGCTGTTTGGCAACCATGTTAATAACTGATTCTGACAAGTATCATCAATGGGTGCTCTAATGGGTGAAATGTGAGGAATAACATGATATTTCCTATCATGTAGTCCCATGTAGTCTCTCCACAGAGGCTTGTTAACTACAAACGGTAAAGTCGCCGGTAACGACACGCATGCCTTCTGGCGTAATCCACGAAGAACACGATACTGCTTATGTTCTACTACTCCCCGAACCCAAACTGAGCACCACTGTACAAAATAACTAGTTTGTATTCTTCAAAAATGGCAACATCCTGAAAATAAAGAAAGACTATATATGGAGAAAAAGAATAGAAATTAGGGTAGAATAAGGGAAGCATAAATTAGAGTAGCAGCAGTCGGCACAGAAAGTAGGAAGGTCAGTGGAGTACTGCAAGGTACCACAGGGGGTCCTGGCTCCTGACTGGATATAGATAAAGAAAAAAGTCATGAATTATTCCAGGGTCCACATCTGAGAGACCGGAAAAGTGGTAGTGTCGCTGTCACGAAGACGACGAGTTCCACTTTCGATGTTATCACATAATATCAAGGTTCCCTAAAGTTAAATTTAAGTGTTGGTATGGAGCTCAGTACAGAGTTCAGAGCTAAAATAAACAGATTGCTGCCCTTTATTTATAATTTAAAAAAAAAAATTTTTTTTAAATTTATTTCTGAGAGACAGCAAAAGTGTGAGCAGGGAGGGTCAGAGAGAGAGGGCGACACAGGATCTGAAACAGGCTCCAGGCTCTGAGCTGTCAGCACAGAGCCTGACGCGGGGCTCGAACCCACGAGCTGTGAGATCATGACCTGAGCTGAAGTCGGATGCTTAACCGACTGAGCCACCCAGGCGCCCCTAATTTACAAATTTTTTAAATGTCTATTTATTTTTCAGAGAGAGACAGAAACAGAGTATGAGCGGGGGAGGGAGGGACAGAGACAGAGGGAGACACAGAAACCCAAGCAGGCTCCAGGCTCTGAGCTGTCAGCCCAAACTGCGAGATCTCCCAAACAGCGAGATCTCCCAAACTGCGAGATCATGACCTGAGCCGAAGTCAGATGCTTCACTGACTGAACCACCCAGGTGCCTCTAAAATTCCTTGATTTAGGGGCACCTGGGTGGCTTAGTCCGTTAAGCATCCGACTTTTGCTTGGGTCATGATCTCGCGGTTCGTGGGTTCGAGCCCCGCATTGGGCTCTGTGCTGACTGCCAGCTCAGAGCCTGGAGCCTATTTCAGAGTCTGTGTCTCCCTCTCTCTCTGACCCTCCCCTGCTCACGCTCTCTCTCTCTCTCTCTCCTAGAAATAAATAAAAATATTAAAAAAAAAAAAAAAAGAATAAAATTCCTTGATTTAAAGTCCTCCGCGGCCTGCTAAAGGTGGTGATTGGGAGCTGGAGGCCCTGTAGCTGATGCAGGAGCTGTACCCATCTTGGAATTTGGATCCAATGGAGGAAAGACTGCATATCATGTATGTACCTTCACGGATTTTTTAAATACGTTTGGACCATCACAAATTTATGCCAGACAGATGCTTAATTTGTGCTGCATAAACTGACTACCAAAAATGTTATCCCTCTAAGACAGCAGAAAACTTGCTGGAGGCTACAATATGTTTTTAGAAAAATAATCAACATGAAAGTAACATTTTTTGTTCTATAATATATTCTTAACTTACTTTAGGTGCTAAATCATCTTACTGTTTTATCCAGAAGCTTCATGTAGAAGTTTCTCTACTTTCAAAAACACAAACCTACACACCAGAGCAAGAGTCTGTCGGCAAGGGCCTCCCTCTAGCAGAAGATGCTAATTGTTGCCTGCGTACTATCCCTTTGAATCTGTGAATAAATGGGCTTGAGAGACAACTTACTAAAATTTCACCTGTTGGGGCGCCTGGGGGCTCAGTCGGTTGAGCGTCCGACTTCAGCTCAGGTCATGATCTCACGGTTTGTGGGTTCCAGCCCCGCATCAGGCTCTGTGCTGACAGCTCGGAACCTGGAGCTGCTTCTGATTCTGTGTCTCCCTCTCTCTCTGCCCCTTCCCTGCTCATGCTCTGTCTCTGTCTCTCACAAAAGTAAAATAAACATTAAAAAAATAACAATAAAATAAAATTTCAGGTGTTTCAATCACAGGAGCTCCATTTATATAAAGTTTAGGTAGTCTAAAACCATATTTTATGAGCTCAGAAGACAGAGGAAGACACATTTTATGAAGACATACTCTGACCTGAGAGCCCCACCCAGCAGGTCTCAGGCAATGGTGGCCACACCCTTTTGGACGACTTTGTAATTCACTACGTTGGGCGAGCCATCACAGACCCACAGTGACAAAAACAGTCACCCAGTTGTTAGATACATTCCAGTCGTAACAAAGAATTCCTTTTTTCACACAGCTGCGGGGTCAATAGCTATACGGTCAATTAAGCTACGGGATTCCAGCCGATGATTCAGAAGGCCACGATTAGAGGCGATTAGCATAGGCTTTAATCAATGTAAAAAGTCCCGCCCTGAAATAACTTCCCCAGGCCCGACATTTCATGCCTGCATTTTCTACCCTCCCACAGGGCCGAGCACAGCGCTCTACCTGATGGAGATGCCCCAGGAAGGCCTGGGCCTGGGCCGTCGAGATTGCTCCTCCCACAGGCACAGGCTGCTTCTGAAAGTCCAGACCATTGGTTTGTGTGCCTAGAAAGCAAGCACAGTAGTGAACCTATTAAAATAAACTCAACTGAAATAAAGCACTAGACCTCGGTCACCAGCATGGGTCGGCCATCAATTCTGTATAAGCACTTTCCTAAGTACCTCCAAGGTCGAGAGGGATTTAAAAGAAAAAGGACGTACAATAAAATGATTTCTCTTCTCGAGGGAGGGCGGTGGGACAAAGAAACAAACACTAAGCATAAGGAACAGAAACAAAAATACAAAAAATGAATTCCAGTCGTAAGACAGCGTTCGAGGACTTGGAAGTGAACGCAGTGTGTGGGGTCAGAGGAAGCATGGCTCTTGTGGGCATCAAGGAGGAGACTACTGTCAGGGTCACTGTGGGGAAGAATGCTAGAAGACAGGCTTCCAAAGAGGGACGGGAGTGCTCTTCTGGTCCCCTCCTCCATCTTTGGCGCGGACCGAAGAGATGGCGCTGATGACTTTCAAAGACGGTTTATTCTTAACTTAGACTTTCAACACCTGACCATCTGATGGCCACACAGCCATTTACATGCTAAACTAGTTTTAATAATTTCTTCATCTCCAAAGTACAAATTGCTGCATACATCTAAGTAGCAAGAGCTCTGCTACAACTAGAATCTTCTAAATGCTGTATCTGTGCTTGATGACCACTTATGCTGCAATCAGGTGCTAGAATAGGACCAATTTATGGAAGGACATATCATCCTAATACTCAGAAATAGTTTTAAGAATATAACGCATTGTTTTCAGACTACAATATCTAGATATTACTTAAGAAACAGCCAGAATTCTTTGTACGCAATACAATATAACCGACGACAGGAACCTGCAGCAATCACTGAGCATGTGAATGTGGTACCAAATTTCCATCTCCTTCCACTCAGACAACCCATCTGTTAGGATGGCACAAGCCGGAACATTAAAGGAGTATTTCTGACCGCTGCCCTTATATACTCCAATTTCTAGCCCATGTATCACTTTAATAAGAATAATGAGGTAGATCACATGACTCAAAAGAACTATTTCAGGTTTCCGTGAGATAATTATAAAAGGAGTGTCCATATATTTCACCTACTTAAAACCTCACAGTGATTGTTCTCTTACAGGTTTTTCCTAAAGCTTCCCAGGAATTGAAAATTAAAGAACTACCTAGACATGTGCACGGAGTCAAATTAAAAGGGGGCATACTTGTGTCAAGTAGTGAGAAACTAGTATGAAATAAAACTTCAGTAATTAATTAGGGTCGGCTTCATAAGCCACACACAGAAGTTTCATTATTTTAAAGTTGCACATTTTGTCACTAGCTGCCTGTCTCCATCTCCGGGCAGAAAATCATTACTTACGTTAAGATTTTCAGGTTGTGCACCATGAGGGAGCTCTGCTCAGTAGGCATTACACAAACGCAGAAGGCCAAAAGAAGACGAGATTTTGAAAAAACAGAGACAAGCACTTGATGAACACATCACCAATGCAAGAAATCTTCCGGAACCAAATATTGTACTCCCACGGGGATCCTGAAAACTCTCTACCCTGGTTCCACTTTCAAGTTCCCACAAAAATAAGAAGCTTGTGAATCACGAGGCACCATGCAACGCAAGACTGGCTGGTTTCTGTCCCTGGAACCCAGCCTCTCTCAGTGGCCCGCAGGTAAGACTATGTACGCGTCCCGTCTCTACTCCTGGGCGGACGCATAGAGGCATGGTATCCAAAGCTATCAAAGTGAAAGGACGTTCTCGGACAATTCAATTAAACCGAGAGAAATTCAATTCAGATAAAGAGAGATGTAAGATGCAAAAGCAGGTTTTTGTTTTGTTTTGTTTTTTAAGTAAAACTCCGAGGCTCCACTAGAAGGAAACGATGGAAGAAAGGAGGCGCCACAGAGAACATTCTTGTAAAATGTAAAGACGAAAGTTGCGCTAAAAGGAAAGGAGAACACACACAGATCAGGCTGGAGGAGGGAGACGGTACAGGGGACAGGGTGTTGGGAGTCAAACCAAACGTGTGCCAGAGAAAACAGGAGCATAAATAAGGGACTGGGGTATTAACAGTTTGGGACAGAAGGTGAATTACGTAAGAAGATTAACATGAGATACAGAGTCTGAGAAACCCCAAAACACGTGATCCACGTGAGAAACCCCAAGAAGAGTGATCCAGAGGCGTTTACAAATGACGCAGGCCAGAGCTAAAGATGCCATCACGTTGCCGCTGCGAAGTGTTACTGAGGTGAGCCTCGGAGACCTTGAATCCAACCTCCTTATTTTAAGGCGAAGAAACAGATTAAGGAATGTTAAGTGAATTGTTCAAAATGTCACAGCTGGTTGGTGGCAGAGCACAGAGAAGGCCAGGGTCCCCTGGCTGAATCACTCACAGAGAAGGGACGGGTAGGATCCTGAGAGTAAGACTGCCAGTCAGCTAAGGGTGGCTATAGAGAAACGAAGCCTGAAGATAAGAGGGCGCCTAGGTTAGTAGATGTAAAGACAGAGGGAACCAGAGAGCAAGCAGTTTGAAAACAGAAACAAAATCCCGTAGGACTAGTGGGACTCGGGGACCAGGCGAAAGAAAGCTACAAGGAAGGACAGGGTAGTTTACTGCCGTCGAATGGTACAGAAAAGGATCAAATGCTAAGAAATGAATCCAAAGAGAGTAGATAAAAGGGAATAAAAGGAAAGACCAACGATTAATGAAAGGGGGAAAAAACCCCACATAGTACAAACATCAACTTGGTTCTTTCAAAAGAATCATATAGATTATAAACTTCTAGAACAATGGAAGAAAAAATAAAGAAGGAGCAAATGATTTAAGGATAACAGAAAGAAGGACACAATAAAAAAATGCTGCAGATACGATAAAAGAGGATATCGTGAACCAATAAAATTCATGCCAATAAAATTAAAACTTAAAAATGGATTACTTTCTCGAACACATACCTTACCAAGACTGACTCAAGGAAGAAACAGGAAATCCAAAGGGTCCCGTAGCATTTGAATACATTTAATTTCTAAGTAAAAATCTTTCCAAAAGGAAAAACGAAAACCTAGACAATTTTACTCCGCTTGTTTCCAGAAATCCAAGGGACAAATAATCCCATTCTTACACAACTTTTTCAGAGTAGAGGAGAAAAGGTAAGCAATTCCTGACTCGTTTTATGAGGCCAGCAGAATCTCAATACCGAAACCTGACAAAGATGAGTATAAAAAGAAAAAAAAAAATACATGTCCGTTTTACTCACAAACATATAAAAAATATCCTAAATAGTACTAGCAAAAATAATCTAATAAGATCAAATATTAAGACCTCGATGCAACGGGGGCACCTGGCTGGTTCAGTCAGCAGAGCACGCGACTCTTGATCTCAGTGTCTTGAGTTCAAGCCCCACATTACCTGTGGCACCTGCTTAAAATAAAGATTAAATTTTAAAAAACACTCCGGTGGATTTGTTCCCGGAATGCAAGGTCAGTTTGGGGTTACAAAAGTAAAAAAATGTGGAATGTCTGGGTGGCTGGGTCGGTTAAGCATCTGACTCTTGATTTCAGCTCAGGTCATGATCTCACAGTTTGTGAGACTGAGCCCCATATAGGGCTCTGTGCTGACAGAGCCTGCTTGGGATTCTCTCTCTTTCTTTCTGCCCCTCCCCTGCTTGTGCTCTTTCTTTCAAAATAAATAAAATGGGGATGCCTAGGTGGCTCAGTCATTTAAGGGTCTGACTCTTAATTTAGGCTCAGGTCATGATCTCATGACGTGAGATCAAGCCTCACGTCAGGCTCTGCACTGGCAGTGTGGAGCCTGCTTGGGATTCCGTCTCTCTCACACTCTGACTCCCCACCCACACCGCAAACAAATAAAAAACCTTTAAAAATAAATAAATGAATAACATAAACACTTCTAAAAAACCAATTAATGTGACGCACCACATTCATTATAAGGGGAATAGCACACAATCATCTCAAAGAATAAAGAAAATCTTTAGAATTTAGAAATTTTCAATTAGAAACTTCTAACTGAATTAGAAGAATTCAGGATCTACTTATGATAAAAACTCTAGGCATAGGAATACAAAGAAACTTCCTTCACTTGATAAAGAGTGAAAGGCACTCCCTTTGAGTTTAAGAACACGATAAGGGTACCAGCTACTGGAATGCCCGGCCAACAAAACCAGGCAAGAAAAGAAAATATAGAAGCTGGAAAAAAGAAATAAAACTTTCTTTTCAGATGACCTGATGGAGTATCCTAAGGAACCTAATGCTCTATTTCTAGAAAAAGAGAGTTTAATTAGGCTACAGCACACAAAATCTATTTTAAAACTGTTTTCATATGCCAAATGAAAACATTTCTTAACAATTTTAACACTCCAAAAATATACAATCCTGGGAATAAACCTATCAACCTACAGCAAGTCCTCATCAGTGGAAAATTATAAAACTTTATTTGAAAATTATAAAGAAGACATAAATAAATGCTCACTTACTAGAAGACTCAACACTGTAAACATATCAGTTCATTCCAAATTGATCTATGGAATCAAAGCAATTTCGTATGAAAATCTAAAGGCTTTTTTTCAATGTTTATTTTTTAGAGAGAGAGAGTGGGGGAGGGACAGAGAATCCCAAGCAGGCTCCACACTGTCACTGCAAAGCCTGATGTGGGTCTCAAATTCACGAACTGTGAGATCATGACCTGAGCCAAAATCAAGAGCTGGACGCCTAACCTACAGACTGAGTCACCCAGGTGCCCCTCAACCATGAGCTACCACAGAACAACAGTGACAAGAACAGTGCAGCGCTAGTGCAGGGTGAAAAGACCGGCGAAGAATCTGGAAACAGCCACACATATCTTCAGACACTTGAAATACGATAAGGAGTCCTCCACGCCACTGAGTAAAGGACGGAGTTTTCATAAAAGGGTAACTGGGCATCCACTTGGGAAACAAATGAAATTAGATCAATTCATATCATAACAAAAGAAATAATGAAGAAAAAAGAGAGCAAGCAAGAAAAAAAATA